CCCCCGTTGCCCTTTACTGGGACAGTTATGTGTGTGTGTATGTATGTGTGTATGAGTGGAAAGGCAAGACAAGAATGTGTGTGTCTTAAGAAGACAGGGCAAAACAGCAACACAACAGCAACGAAACACAGAAAGCAAGAAAGCAGCAAGGCAAAGTTAGGGAGTGGGAGTTAGTGAGTGAGTTAGTTGGCTGCAGGCAGGTGAGGGGAAACATATCTGCTGCACACGCACGCACGCACGCACGCACGCAGGGAGGGAGGTTAAGGTTCACTTCACGCAGCACCCATTGCATGCATTGTGTACGCGTGTACGCACATCACATGCACACCACCTACCAATCTGTCCACTCCACGCACTCACACTCGAGCACCGGACTCACACCCGAGCAGAGCACCGGACCGGTATTAAGAGTAGTAGAGAAGTTTTCCCTCTATGTATGGGTGTACTGTGTGGGTGTGTGTGGCTGTGTTGTGGGTGGTTGGGTGGATGCACCAGGTAGCGTAGCGTGTGTGGGTGTTGTGTGGTGTGGGTGTGGTGTATACGGTAGGTAGGCAGGTAGGCAGTGAGTGAGTAACGGCTATACAAGGGGCTGTCAACATGCATTGTATGTATTGTGTGTGTTGTTATGAATCAATCAATCGTGCAGACATTAACTTGACAAAAAGCTGTCTGTCTGTCTGTCTGTCTGCCACCCAGCCAGTCAGCGATTGTCGTCCTACGTGCGCAGCGTAATAAAAATCATCCACACCACACACTCCTGCCCTCCCCCACTCAGAAAGGCGCCCACATAAAGGCAAGTAGGTACTCTGTCGACAACTTGATTGACCTGTTCCCCCACCCATTCCCCCAGCCACCCATCCTTTCTCGGACACGACTAAGAGAAAATGGTGTCCTCTTCCTTCTGTGGTGGGTGGGGGGGGGAGGGGAGGGGCCTGCCTGCTTGTTTGTCGTCCTTTCCCTCCCTCTCTCTCTGTCTGTCAACTTTCAATTAGATAGACGGACGAGCGCACCTCTGTCTGTCTGACTTTCTGTCTGTCTCACAGGCTACACACGCGAAAATCAAGGCACTTGCTGGACTGGACATGAACCCAAACTCATCCACCCCCCCACCCACCCCCACCGGTCACACCGGTCCCTTGAGGCAGCCAAACGAAAAGAGGGAGGCCTCTCCCTCACTCACTGATTCGTCCATTCCTTCGTTGCTTCATTGCTGCTGCGCTGCCAGCCGAAGCCGGCTAAATGATCACAACCACAGCATGAGCACTCGCATCCATCAGGCAGGAAAGGGCAGGAAAGGGCAGGGCAGGGCAAGGCAGTCAGTCAGGCACCGAGACAAGCGTACGCAACGTTGTACGTACATAGCATACACACACAGAGAGAGAGAGAGATGTGGGAGGGAGGGCATCGGTCGGTCAGGATGGATGGATGGATGGCATGACGCATCAATCAATCAATCAACCATGGCACGCAGCGCAGCACCCACAACACGAAGGAACAAGCCAGCCTCCAGCCTCCCTCGCGCTCATTTGTTCTTGTTGAGCTCAACGGACATCCTGACACACACCAAGACAGACAGACAGACAGACAGAGAGGGAGGTGTGTGTCGGTCCTCTTGTTGTTGCAACCCTTCACTGTATGTGTCTGTCTGTGGCGACCTGAGTATTTTGAGGCATGTGTAGAACTTGTCCCTTGAGTAGGTGTCCTTGAACCAAAAGTACAGCCGCGTCGCGCCCTCCTTGTCGACCTCTAGCCCTACCACCGCACACACACACACACACACGATAAGTGCGTTGACCACATGCAGCACAGACAACAAAGGCATCCGTCTGTCCCTACCGACGGTGTGCAGCGCGACGTCTTCTGGCAGCGATGAGACCTTCTTGTACACGTCAGCACCTTTGAAGATCGAACCAATCTGCACACACACACATAGTGCCCGTGTCCCCTGGCCGCTGGTGCGTGCGCGCGTGTGTGTGTGTGTGGGGGGGGGGGGGGG